GTCAGCTGTTGAGCGCGCACATTGCGCAGGCTTGCTCAGCGTGAAAGCTCTAAAGCTCTGGCGGGCGAGTTAATGATTTTGAGTAAATAATAAAACAATTTGAGCGAGCATGAGCGCCGATTTGTACGACTTTCTATTGTTATACTTATGGCGCTGTGTGTCAATTGAAAATGTACTTAAGCTCGAATGTTTCTGTTGGTTAACTCCTCGTTGGTTTTTACACCATTTAAGTGGCGTCACGTTCTTTTTAAGCACTCCTTTTAGAGAGCTAAATGAAGTATAATGTTTTTTTTTATTATTTATTTAGTTTTTTTCTTTTATAGAACAGGGAAAATTTGTATTACCAGTTTTGAATATAAAAAAAATAATAATAATAATTAAATTACTATTTAACCCAAAGGTAATAAAGCAAAAGTCAGCCCCATTTCTCTCGAATAAGTATTGATACATGTCTTCAGAGATTACCGTATAGCTGAGCTTAAGGCGCATACGTAGTGTATTATATATTTTATTATATTTTATTCTTACTACATACTTATGTCAATAGAACTTCGAAAAACTGCTGTGCATTCAATTAGCATGCAGTGCAGAGTTTCCGGCTTCATGTCGCAGAATCAACATTCTCACAAGAAGTTGGGCCGATGTTATATAAGTGGTTATTGGTTTTACAATGGCCAGTGTAGAAGGCATCATGTAGCCTGAGTTTGACCCTTGGGAACATTACATGATGATTACATATTTAAACCCTTTAAGAGTAGTGGCCAATAGCACTACCTGTCCATTCCTTCATCCTTGCAGAGCAGCTTCTTAATGGCATGGCGACGAACTGCTTTGAAAGACTCTGGTTCTACCATATTGAGCGGGCGAGCTCATCAACCGGTTTGTTCCCGGCCATACCTGTGTGACCGATCACCCAGATAAGGTTACAATTTGAAAGACTGTTTATCCGTTCTATATACTCCTATACCAATAACGATTTSATCTCGTACGCAGAGATCGCTTTGAATGCCGCTTGATTGTCTTGCCGGTTTATTTCTATTTATCGACTTGTAGCAAAGACCACTGCTTGGAATATGCTCGCAAARCTTTCCATAKGTATGTRGAGTTTRRTGCGTGGTCCTGCGACTTTTGCATTAAGTCCCTCCGATGTTTTCGAGCCGTGGCATTACCACTTGATTTTACTATCGTTAAGTAGTAGCTCGAGAGCGGAATCATTCCATTCAGCCTTATTGCTGAGGGTAACCTTGAACTTCTTAAWGAAAATTAAACYAGTGGTATTTTACTTGTAAGTCCTTCATGCGCTGAGAACAAATTACCTATGMMAAACYCTTCTGCTGTCATTTGGAGCAGTGTMTCAAACCACCGCTCCGTATGTRACAACTACTTGGCAATTATTTGCTTGCAGCCCGTAAGTGCTTTAGTAGTTTTAGTCATGGTCAGGTCAACATGTTGCTTCCAGTTCAATCAACTTTATCAGTTTATCTTTTAGCGCATTTTTCGCAAGACTATTTTTTAAAAATAACTTGAGTGATTACTCGGAGATTAAAAATCTGATCATTATCTTCTGGTATATACGTTGTTTTCGACAAAATGACCTTTTACGTTGTTGATTTATTTAACCATAGCTCCGTTGTAAGGAGTTAGCTTCTTCCAAGGAGAAGGCCGCAGCCACTCAGGGAATGGACAACAGTAAAAATATTTTATGTCTTTTCTTCTTAAAACAAAAAATAAATAAAATCTGTTGTGTATTTTCAATATTACATATTTAAACTTCCAGAACCCGCCCTTTTTAAGCTTTGACACTGGGTGTTCCCCCTAATATTTGGCTGCTCAAACTACCATTTTTTAATGACTATCTCACTCTCTTACTATTTTTAATTATTTCTCATAAAGATTTACGCTCAATTATGGTTAAAAGTTATACTTTGATGGCCGAATTTGATGTACAACGTCCATTCGATGAAAAAGTGGTGAAAGCTCCATCTACTTCACTGAAAATCACACATTAATGATCAACGAATTGAGTTGAAAGACCAGAACATACGTGTATAAAGAGATATTAGATTTACATTTGTTATGAGAAAGCAAATTTTTAGTGATGGAACTAGGTCTGCAGAGCTTTAAATGAAAGCTCTAAAGCTCAAACATTAATTTTTGTACATTCGCGTATGCGAAGAGTTAATTCAATATGAAATGGAGAAAAAGTCATAAATATAAAGACGATCAAAGAATTTAAAGCTAATATTTAATGAATTACAAAAGTTGCCTTCAGCAGCTAGTTCAATTCTAATACGAAATAGTAGAGAAAATTATTTATACAATCAACGACCGAAAGTCAACACACCGATCATTGTTTTTTCTCCAATAATCCAAAAACAAACAAAAAATAGACCAAAAAATATCATACCAMTTATATCACCTTTCCCGAGTATGAAACTCCTTTCGTCTCAGCATATCCTATTATGAAATAGCCTTTATATGGGTTAGATATTTTGAATCAATGTATCACATTTTCTGAATGTTAAACTATATTATTTTCGAATTCATACCTACTTTGAAAGTTATGGTATGTGAAATGTTCTTAGCCTGAGGTTTAAGCAAAGCTTCAAAAMGTGKCCTAGGTTGTGTTAGTTAAGTAGGCTGATTTCTTGGGTAATCCCACTCGGACTGTCAGAATCAAAGAGATCGTCGTTATCGACAAACCGGCTAGAGCCTGCCACAAGTTTTTTGAGGTGGCTAATATCCCTTCCAGCCAATTTGCAGGGTTCGTAAAAGRCATGTCAACCGAGATGCTTCAACTTTAGACTTCCGAAAGTTGGACAGAAGAGGAGAAAGTGACTTTTCTGTCGTATCTTCCACCCCTGCAATTTAGCTTTACCACTAGCCAATGGGACAGTGTCCTGCCATTGCGGCGTGTGAGATTTGGTAAGAGAGTAGTCTATGGGTCTATTACGTTCCATTCTGATGCAGAACGCACACGTAACCCCATAGGTGCTGGCTGCTGACCAACGGAAATCTGGAAATCTAAAACAATAGTTTATTCAGAGCTGTCTAGACTTCCCCTCCAACCTTTTTCTTGAGYTTTGATACATCTGTGAAAAAGCTTACTGCGCATCTTCTACAACGAGGTATGCGCTTGGAGAAGATTCTGCTAGGAGTAAGATCCGAGTGGTCCAAGTTATCAGGGATACAGTCAAAATGAGGGAGGATTTCGGAATGTCCTTAATGGGTTCCTTAATGTTCCAGTTTCCCAGAGTCTGCCGACTATGCGCATGGATGTTGTATGTGGAATGGCATAAAGTGCCATCGCATTTATCAATCAAGTGCCACGCGTTGGAATTGTACGTRGTGCACCACTGATGMMAATGARTACCGAGAGACAAATAYATGATGTAACAATAYTGGATTGATCACTTTTTCKTAAAGCCAAAGCACAAYTTTTGGTGAGCGGCCCCCCACCATATCCTAATAGTTCCTTTACAACCACATAATAAAATTAATGCCTTCCTCTCTTTAACATTGGTCACTCATGATAGCTTTTTATCAAGAATGAGACTCAATAATAAGTATGAGTTTTAGCTGACTGTTGATATATAAACACTTCTGATAATAAAACTCTTAGTAAACTGGGTGGATTAATATCTATGAATCTTCTGAATTTCAAAAGTGACTGATTATGGTTTGAATATAAAGTACTCTTCGACTCGATAACTGCTGTTGACTCAAATTATCAAATTTCTGTAGCTTCTAGAAACCGAGTGGAGAGGAACATGTATCAACTTTATATGGTTGGAGCGTCGGTTCGATAAGATCTAAAGGATGTCGAAAAAAGYCATTTTATTTATGTTTCTCACCAAAACCGACTACGGAAATGTTATGTGTGCCTTCGCCAGCGGTTAATCAGCCTGTGGCCCACTGTACACATAGATATTGTTGTCCCAAAGCAACAGTCGTTCAAACTGCCACTTGCTGGAAGCTCCAGCKACGGCGCTCACAACAAATGAGCGCAGCACTTGCGCTCTCATACTCGCACTCCATTCATTATGGTACAATATACAATTGTTGTATAACTGTATGTGTGTGAGTGTGTGTGCGTGTACCATTGACCAACTTTTACGCGATTTGTTTGTTTACGCCAGAACAAAAACATTACAACCTGCCACAACAAGATTTTCTAATTAATTTCATTGCTCGTCGATATASGCTGATGTGTATGGGTCACTCTCCCAAACGCTCTCACGCGCTCCGCTTTGTTTTGGCTTATGCACTAGGTATGCCGTGTTGRCACTACAGTGTTRTTTGCCTGGCAAAGCTGTGCGCCACTTTATGTGCTCAAGCTTTTTTATGAAGGCGCACTCAATCTAGTTGGCATTGTTTTTGTCGCCTGTCGGCGCGCTGTTGAGCTTTCATGAGTTAACAGTCCATTGTGCTTTCACGCTTCTATGATTCGTTTGTTGTTGAGTGTAGCGATACACACGCGCCTACATACATGTGTGCACATTATGGGGAAATGCTTGTATGACTGGCTCTTATCCTGTTGTCGGCGTCGTACTCAGCGTCCTCGGCGTCCTCGGCGTCCTAATCGTCGTCGTCGTCATTGTCGTCGTGGCCAACATCATCCTCGCTAGCGTCGGCTCGTTCAGTGATGGCTCACAAGTGTTTAGTAGGTTTTGAAACATGGAACGGCGCTGTTGCATACGCGGCAAAATCGTTGTGGCAACATAAAACGAGTAAAAGCAGGCCGATTTCGTGCGAATAAAAAATACGTCGGATAAGCACATAATTGAAAAAACGAAAACGAACAAAACAAAAAAAGAAAAAACGCACCAAAAACGACCGTGACGCGAATGTGAGGAAGCAGCAGCAAAAAAAGAAAAAAAAAACCAAAACAAAAAAAAAAAAAACATACGGACACACGATACGAGCACTTCGCGTATTCGCCTGTTCGTTCAACCAAAAATAGTCGTACAATTGTACTGCTTTCGAAACGTTTAACCTAATTAATTGTAGTTAGATAATATCTCTCATTAATGTGTAATTTACGCGCGGATGGCCAGCGACATACATGCATACTAAATGCCACGGCATGGCAGCCTATTTACTTTCATATTATAAATGTGTGAGTTTATCTGTGTGTGTATGTGTGTTACTGCGTGAAACTGAAAATATATAAAAGCGAAGTGTTAGAATCACACGCAGTTAAACGCCTGTAAGTAGACTAATAAAATGTGAAATAAACTTAACACCGTGCCGCCCTACACAAAACAACAACAACTAAGCGATTTAGCATAGCAAGGCGGCCGCTAAAGATGCTGTAGCTGATGTCGAGATTGAATACTATTCGCCCTGTTAGCGTTACTACACACATACATATCTGTTTTATGTGTGTATGTATGTATATTTGTATATGGGTTAGGCATCACTATCAGGGCATTTGTATCTAAAGCTGATTTGTTGCGAGTGTCTGACTGTGCGCGCGACTGTATGTGGGTGTGAATTGTAACACCAAATAGTGCGGCTGCCAGACAAACAGACGACGAACGGGCAATCCAAGGCAGTGAACTACTTTTTTAGTATCTTCGCTGTGGTGGCACAATGGCAGTTGGCTGGCAGTAGCGGGAATTGTAGGAAGATAAAAATGAAGAAATTTAAAAATGAAAAAAATAAAAAAATATATATGTATATATAAAAAGAAATAAAAAGAAGTAAAATAATAAATAAAAGAACACAAGAAAAGACGTGAAGCGTCATAATTAAAAAAAAAAAAGGTTTCCGTACAAGAGTATGACAACTATATGCTATAGTGGACCGATCTGAATTATTTATTCGGAAATAATGGACAATAATTTGTGCCAAATTTCGTGAATATATCTTGTCTTAAAAAAAGTTATCTTTATAAGTACCTAATTTTGATTTATCAGTTTGTATGGCAGCTATAGGCTACAGTGATCCGATCAAAGCTTATTGCTTGGAGATTACAGCTCTACTACAGCAAACAATTTGTGCCAAATTTCGTTAATATATCTTGTCAAGTAAAAARGTTTTCTATATAAGCACTTTATTGTGATCATTCAGTTTGTATGGCAGCTATATRCTATAGTTGCYCGATCAAAACGATTTGTTCKGAGATTATAGCGTTATATTGGAAAATAATTTGTACCAAATTTCGTTAATATGTCTTKTCAAGTAAAAAAGTTTTCTATACAAAAACTTAAATTTGATCGTTCAGTTTGTATGACAGCTATAAGCTATAGTCGACGTATCTGAATGATTTGCTCAAATATTATAGCACTACCATGGACAATAATTTATGTAAAATTACGTAAAGATATCTGGTCAAATAAAGAAGTTTTCCTTATAAGTACCTCATTTCGATTGATCACTTTGTATGACAGCTATAAGCTATAGTCGTCTGATATGAAGCATTTTTTCGGAGATTATACTTTTACATTGAATAATAATCCTTGTTGAAATTCGTGAAGTTGTCACGTCAAATGAAAAAGTTATCTATGCAAGAACTTGCAGGTCAGCTTCTTGGTGAGAAGAGAACGTGTGCAAAACTTCAGATTGATATCTCCAAAAACTGAGGAACTAGTTCGGGTATATACATACAGACGGATATGACTAAACCGACTCAGCTCGTCACGCTGAGGCATTTATATATGTATATGTATATATCTTATAAGATCTTCGACGTTTCCTTCTGGGTATTATAAACTTCCTGGCACACAACCTACCCTGTACATGGTATAAAAAACCAAAACAAAAAAAAATATATATATAAAAAAAAGTAAAAATAAAGCGCAAAATAAAATCTAAAACGAAAAATAGCAAAGCAAAGCAAATTAAAGTAGAAGCGAAAAATATATGCCCTTGCCAGACTAGCTGAAGGAGAGAGCCATCTAAGTTGGYTATTTGATAAGACGCAAGCAGACCGGAACGCATGACTTTGTAAAAGTAAGAAAGCAGCAGAGAAGCCGTTGAAATAAGACGAATAATGCTACAGCCGGTTGGCAGTTAGACACTTTGTTGAAGGTTTGTGATAGTTTCGCGTCAAGGAGGCATACACCACCTAAAGTACATGCGGTTTTTTTATAGCCAACGCTGTTAATTAGAAGCGAAGTTGGCTGCGTAAGGGGTTTATKACGGAACGTGAATGCAAATTAATCGAAAAGTAAAGTGTTTTACTCAGTTTTTAATGTAAGTCCAGAAAGTAAGCGAACGTTTTAAGGGAGTGACTATAACTTTGTTAAACATTGCTGGAGCTTCAACTGCTTTTTGATATAAGCGCTTTACAATTATGTTATGCAACAAATATGAGGTCCTGCAAGTTTCTAAACTTCGATGTCTGCAGTACGGATAGAAGAAGCCTATCAAAGTCATAAATACACTCAAAGTTTTGACCTTGTCTGGTATTTGAACATTTACTAATAAAGTAAATGTTGTCGTTTCGTTGAACATGGAGGTGCTAATGAAAATGAAGGCATCTGTTGCGGAGAAAACAACAGTTTAATTAATTAATAATAAGAAAATTGATATATAAAGAAAAAATTCACAGATCACATCTGATCAAAATTGAACCGGACTGAAGGCAAAAAATAACAAAAAAAAATTTTTTTTCCACGTATTTTAATAAAATCAGTTTGGTTCCATAAAAAATAAAACAATTGATGGATTTAAGAAAAATTCACAGATAACATCTGATCAAAATTGAACCGGACTGAAGTAAAAAAAAAAAAAAACCAAACCTAAATTTTCCACATACTTTATTTAAAATATTTGATCGCTTTTAAAATAAGCAAGCCAAGGCTTAATCCAAATTCCATACTTTCCTTGTTATAAGTCTCGCTTTGATTTCGGCGCGCTTGTGGAGCGGTCTTCGCTAGATTGTTGGACAAGTTCGACGTTAAATTCATAAGCTGACGTTATCAGTAATGTTTGTTGAACGTAGGGTTCTTAGTTGTTGCTACCTACCCAAAATGTTAATCAAAATATTTTACAAAATAGTTGAAGCGATTTATAAAAGGTGTTGTAATACTCTGCACTCTCTCTGGTGGCAACACGATGTTTTTTAAGCATTGTTTCTTTAATATTTTCATTGGTATTGTTTTTAAATTTATTTGTTTTTATCGCTTGATGTATGTTTTCGATGACTTCATGATCTCGACTTGAATTCCAACGGTATGGCATATGTCTTATTACATAATCCGTCGACTCACTTTTTCTCTGTTCTTAAAGTTCACTAGTAGTACCATTGTCTTTTGGATAAGCTTTGGATTTTAATTTCATTTCGGTATACAACAAGATCTTGTTTTACCTTAAAGACATATTTTTGTATTATCTATATTTTACTCATGATCAAAAGAATAATGAAGAGATGGCAAAAAGCCGAAATGATTTCTAATCGAAAAGTTAGTGCTAATCAAGCGCATAAGCTTTCCCAAAGTGTAATTTAGCGACGTTTCTTTTCAGAGCTGTTAGTTAGTGGAAGAAGTCGTCAAATTGTTAGACAAGTCAACAATAAGTTCGATTTGTCTGGTCAGTCAGTCGAAATAAGTATGAAATTGAGTATTCAGAAGAAGTCCAGGGTCCAATCACTATCAGCATTTCTCAGATACTACAGTGGATTAAGATTTTTTTGCTAGAAACCGTGAGGTCTCATCTTTACACTTCCTTAGAAGGCTCTTCATGAAGCTCTCTTAACTACCTTGTACTCTATTTTGTGTATAGCCTACGTTATATAGGGTCTAATAGCTACCAAGGCTATTACTACGGGCTTTGTTGGAGCTCTGCTCTACTCGAAGACCTTATCGCCGTTAGCTTCAATGTCCACCAAAGCGCTTTCTCTTTAACTTTATTAGTTTGCAGAGAACAGTAGCTTTTAATAGTAGTCCTACACACAAGAGCTTAACGAGCTCATCAATCTCATGCGGTCATAGGATAGCGTCCTTGTAGGACTCCAAATGGTACTTTTGTAGTTTGAATACTCATAAGTTCTGCTCTACGGGCAYAAATCATTCAAGATCTCTAGAGCTCTGTCTAGAACTCTCCATTCCGAGATGTAGGGAGTAATTTCTTTAGAGTCTAGTGTAACTTCAAGGTACTCCGCCCTGCCAGCAGTCACAAAAGTCGGGAAATTTCCTTGTTTACGAATAGAAAGGTTTCCCCCCCCCCCATGTTTTGAAGATTATTTCTTTCAAATTTTAACCACGGCTACGTCAAAGATGGGTCATCCGTTTCCAATTATCGATTACTCGACGATTCATTACTACGAATCGATTACATTTCGACTAGTAACTTGCGAATGACACGCGCGATAAATACCTCCAATACCTGGATACGAAAATGCCCGCGTAGACTTTGGATTTTACATATCGGTGGCCAATTATTGATGCCGATGTGTGCAAAGTGGCACCATATTRTTGGCACCGAATGTCGCTGGTGTCACGAGGTTCAATTTCACAAATCAAATTAACGGTTGCGTCTCACCGACATCGGTTTTGAAGAATTATGGACCAATGATTCCACCAGCACACAGACCACACCAACACGTTGCTTTTTCTTGATGAAATKGCAGCTCTTGAATCTCTTCAGGTTGCTCTTCGTCCCGAATTTGGCAATTTTGTTTGTTTACACACCCATTGACCGAGAAATGAACCTCATAAAAATTGGGCACGAAAAGTCGGATCTTCTTGAAACCTTTCAAGAGCTCATACASCAAAGCGATGTCGCTTGTGAAGGTCGAGCGGCTGCAGTTGTTGCTCAAGCTGTATTTTGTACGCTTTCAACTTAAGGTCTCGACGTAAAATGCGTAAAAGTAGTTCCATATGTTAGCCCGAGTTGCTGCGAATTGTGCCGAATCGACTTTCCACGTTCTTCCTGTACACGTCTGCAACATTTTCTTCACTGCGTGCCGGACGTGGTGTATTCGGATCAAATATTATCCAATAATGAATGCTGGGTCTCAAGTTGCTTGTTGGTGTTGTGAATAGTGCGCGCAATAGGCTGATTATATTGATCATAAGAAGAGCGAAACACTTTCCTTAGAGAACGCGAATTTTTCGTAATGAAGTTGAGTGATTAGTAAACGTTTTTCAGACGTAGGCCTTCGAAACACTG